AAACTCCGGCGTAGTCTAGAGACTCCGCCAGCCACCAGATACCAGACGCCACTCAACACTCCAAAAATACGTAGCAAACATGGCCCAAAGCACAATTTACCTGTATGTGTGTGTACATGTGTGCGTGTGTGTGTGTGCATGGGGGCGCGGCTAGAGCAGAACTTTTGCATAAATTGAGGCACTTTAAATAAACCAAAATATAAGCCACAACAATATAATAAACTAAATATGCTCGACTAGCACATGCCCTTTAAGCGCTTAGCTCCCCTGACTCGTATAGCAAATCAAGGCTCTGAAATGAATGCAGCTACACATCAAACTGACTTTCACACCTGATGAATTATAATGCATCATAAAGCTGTCACAAATTCTGAACACCCTTTCGAGCTTTTGAGGAAACAGGGTATAAAACTTCCAAAAAGCAAAGCGTAGTCAAAAATGTCTGTCAAAAGCAACGATGAGTGATTCGGGCCATAAACTATATGCTGCATGGAAATGAACTACACACGAGAATACACACACACGCACACATAAGCTCACACACACATACACTGATAGCTGTTGCTATGCTATGCAGCATGCATAAATATATTATATTTGGTTGGGCAATTTTTCGTTTGCCTTTTGAAGAGTTCAAAATTGCATAAATTATTCTCGGACTGGCGCCTACGAGACGCATTTCATGTGGCACGTTGCACAAACGCCTATGCAGGCAGGCCGCCAGGCAGGCACACAAATATTTTTTGGGTTCAGGCCAGACCAACAAAATGGCTGGCAGCGGTAAGGGCATCAAGAATATACAAAAAATGCACAAAAGTGCAGTAATCAATCTTCAAAGTGTCAACACTTCCTTCCAAGAGTGTCAACTGACGTGCAACAAAAAACTATGCGGAATGTTTTCCATGCCCGCTCATGAAGTGAGAAAAAGTATATTGGTTTTATGCAATGCGTTCGTAAGAGAATTAATATTCGACTAATCTTTTATTTCTCTCTCTCTCTCTCAATTCTCTAGACATGAGGATTACTTAGCATGCTTCATCTTAAATAAGCCATTTATTCTTCACCTCATCAGCTGCAACTATTAAGGCATTCAACTGCACTTTAAATCATAAATGTTCATATCACATTAAGCATTGTATACTTCAAACTGTAAGCCCCCCAGTTGTTTGAAACGGAAAAACCTTGCAGCTGACATCAATGACCTCTAAAAACTTACACATTCATAAATCTTCCATTTTTTTTTTACACACATTCCATTTATACATTCTCAAAATAAGAGAAATACGTAAGAATTAAAAACTTTTTGAATAGCCAGCAAATGTCTGTGCAAATATTTGCGTATCGTATTTATCTACATATATGCATATTCCGAATTTCAGCTCCAATTCACGACATCTGCGCGCCATAATAGCCAGATGAACGTCGTGCTCATCAATCATTTAAACAACAAAACCAACAACAACAAGAACAAGAACAGAACTTATTTTCTTGCTTAAAGTTCGCTTTTTACCAGACTTTTTTCGCAAGCAAAGACAAAGATTGATTGGCAGACTAAACAACGCAAGCGCAATCGAAATCGAAATCGAAATAAACGAGCGCCATATAATATAAGAATACCCTTACTGCATTTGAGAGCAATTTGTTTTACTTAATAGTAAATTAAGTTCTAACATATTGATACAAACGTCTTACGGCAGGAACGCAACTAAATGATGATTATAGTTTAATGAACAAAATAATAAATAAGAAAAAATAATAATTAAAAAAAAAAAATAATATTAAAAAAAAATAATAATAATAATAATAAAAATAATTTTTAAAAATAATAATAAAAATATATAAGAAAAAAAAAAGAACAAAAAAATAATAATAAAAATAATAAAAAATAATAATAAAAAATAATAATAAAAAATTATAATAAAAAATAATAATAAAAAATAATTTTTGTTGAAAAATCTACTAAATTATTTTTCACATAATCTAATATGCTCGTCATCAGTTTCATACCTTGGAGTAGAAGAGCACGCAACAATCACGCAATTTTCCACGCTTAATCATTAATGTGGGACTTCACCCCATAAACGAAACAAGAATGGAAAAGTAAAGGGTATTGCCGACAGAGAACAGCAACAACAATTAGCAGATGTGCCAACAACAATGTGAAGCGTAATAAATGACGAAACAAGTTGACTTAAGTCGTAATGAAAACACGCTAAAAACTACCCGGAACATTTTCCTAACTTGGGTATTCTACTTACTTTTTTTTCATTTCTCATTTTATTTGGTAATTATAATTATAGCTGATTAAGAGCTGAGACGAGCTCGTTCGTTGAGGGTTAATAAAAATGTTGACAGCTGACGGAACGAGTTGATCCCGCGAAAGGGACCCGCGGGCCAGTCAATGATATACGCTGATTAAAAAATCAGCGATGCGGCTTACAAACAACCCTTTTGGGAATCAACTGCTGCCAATTGCTCAATGATTAACAAGTTGACTTGTGTTAATTATTAGAGAACCAGTTTTCTTCTCCAATTTTGATAACTTAATCCTTTGAGCAAACAATATTCAAGCGCTGCGCCATCGGCAATCTGTTCAAAATGCCAAAAGCTATTCGGGCACAAAACTAAACAACAAAAAAATTCTTTAGGTTTTATCATTTTAAAAAAGTTACGTCCCGCCATATTCGCAGTTTGCAATTCCAAACTAAAACTTGGCTCTCAACTTGTTCGCCTCGAAAAGAAAAAACTTTCCTAGCTCTTGAAATTGCAGCACCAAGCCAAGCACCAGCTAATATGATGAGCACAAACTTGAGTTGCTTTAAGCAGCAAACGAAAAACCAACTTTTGGACATCCTTTGCTGTGAGGCAAATCCTAGACAGTTAGTCATGGCAAGGTTTATACAAATTTAATACGCCAACGCTTCAGAATCAGTTTGGGGTTTTGGTTTCGTTTCGTTTCGCTTCGGTTTTGGTTTCGTTTAGTCTGGGCGATTGCATGGCATTTTGAATGGCATTAAATATTTATAAATTCAATACAAAATGCAATTTCAAATGCATGCCAAGCGGCAGACTGCCAAAATAAAGAAAGAGATGAGCAGAGAGGGAGAGAGTTGGAGATATAAGACACGCACACATATACATAGATATAAAGAGAGAGCGAGAGAGAGGCGGATAAAAATTGAATTGTAAAGTTTTGAAGCAGACAAAAGCTAGCACCAAGCTGGGCGCAGATGGGCTACATAAGTTGGCTAGGGATTCAGCAGCTACAGATGTAGATACAGATATAGATACAGATACAGTTATAGCTGCAGCGACAGGTAGCCACAAACATGCACAGTGTTGCCCCTCACCCGCTCAGACCCCTACCCAGACCCTTTTTACATTATCTACTCGGCAATTTCTATTGTGTCCTGCGAGAGTGTGCGTATGTATGTGTGTATGTATGTCTGTGTAGCTGTCATAAAATATTCAAAGCGAACTCTCGCAGCTTTACATTTTCTATTTATGCATTCTACAGCTTCAACTAATTGCTACTCGAACAACTTGTGCGGTCTGCTCAATGGCGTACAGTTCAATATCCGCTCTCGCATAGCTATTATCAGCCATAATAAATAATAACAATAATAATCATGGAAAAAAAAAACCGCAACATATCAAAACACTATGCAGTTCAAAATTGCTTGCCTCAGTCCTTTAGCACACACACACCCATAAAAAATGCCGACATTGGCACAACAGAGAGTGTAAACAGTAATCTAATACACAGTTAGCCACAGCCAGAGGCTGCAACAAGAGCACCACGAAACACAAATACTCTAATATGGGAGGCAAAGTCCAAAGTAGCAAACTGCTTATAGTAAAAATAAATGTTTATAATAAGAATTTATTATCAATTAAATAAATATAATAAATAAATTAAATGGGGTTGGAAGTTTACTTGAACTAGTTAGCAAGGGAGAGATTGTTTATATACTTAAGATATTCAATATCATGGACAGGACAAGTTTTTTTTTATGCCTCAATTGAATATGGGTTTGGAACCTGCGTTCACTTTTTGGAGTGTCTAATGAACTAGTTCATTCTAAATGAAAACTGCCTTAAAAAACATCTTAGTTAATAAATAAATACTATATTCTATTCAATTAATCCAACAATTTTAATGTTTTAATCCAACAAATTCAATTTTAATATATTTATTTATCCTAATATTATATTTAAATAATTCAATTTAAAATATTTTTTACTCTGAAGCCTCCAGCCTCTAGCTCACTCCTCAACTCACTCTCCTTCTTCCAATAATGATATCGAACACCAACCAAAATTTCATAGTTCTATAACCTCAACTTTTCTTAGATCACTTACTAAATGCTCTATTTCGCTTAGAAAGATATCGCCAAGCAGTTCAAACAACAAAACTCACATATTTCAGTTCCTTTATGTGACACCTAAAACATGCATATATGAAAACCGAAAACAATAACAAAAGCCAAAACAACAACAAAAAACTTTTGCCAGCAATTTTCTTGTACAGCTTTTTCCATAGAATTTTGTCATTTTCTTTTTGCTGGCTGACTGATACAACAACATCTGCAAATTATCTAAACTATTGCGCTATGCAAACAATGCCACAACAACAACAACAACAGCAACAGCAGCAGCAGCAGCTGGCCCCTAACCCATAAGATCCCTAACATAGCCATGGCCTGTCCCAAGACCATATCCAATTGCTAGTTTGCCAAGTCAGGCGATTTCATATACATATATATTATGATTGTGGGTAACTTCCAAGAACTGAAAGCCCAGCGAATTGACCATTTGTGAATGAATGAATGCAGTATAATCAAGAAATGTGAATAAGTCAGCGAGTGAGCGAGTCAATGAGAGTATGAAAATAGCTAAAGTCAGCTAGAGTTGTAGTTCGCATTGCTGATTAATGAGCAACTGACTATTTTCACTTATTCATTATATACAATAGATAGATATCGTTGGCAATAACTCACCTTAACTTGATAAGAATTCAAACGCGTCTTTGGCAGCAAATTGAATGATGAGAAATCCACGCGACGTGAGAAGATGCCATTGCAACCAGAGGTGGAGCTGTAAATAGAAAGAAAACATAAACAAAATATGATAAGCAAATGCAATTCAGAATATAAATATATAGATATGCATAAGATACTTATGAAAGGAATGCACAACTTGCAGCATATCCTATAATAGAATTACTTTTTTCTTTATAGCTAAAAGAAAATTTTGCATAAATGAACGTCAGCAAAATAAATAAGAACATTTCCGCCCCAGACTTTGTATGCAGATGATGTTCTCTTAGCAATTGCCTTTTACCTTTTTTATTACACCCATTTCCGCCCACACACTGCAGGGTATATTTGCAATATGCTTATGTTTTGTATATACATTTTTATATATATTGTATTATACATTATGACAGCATTTTTCTTACGATATTCTCTCGCATCATAGCAATGCATATCGAATACGTTGGCAGTTGACAGCCAACGGAAATTGCATGTGCCTTGCTGCACAAAGTGACGTCGCCGTCAGATAAAGATTTCCTTTAGCCACAAAGCGCACGTAACTACATTGGCTATGGGAGGCAACAGAGGCGACAGAGGCACCCCCAATCGCATATCCCAAGTGAAGCTATTCAAAAGCTACATATGTTACATGTAAAATGTTTGGCTTTCATTAAGCTAATACGTGACGATTGCAACTCCAAGATCCGGCCATAGTGAGGCACACTAAACAGCTGTTTACCCGTTGCTAATCTTGGCCAACAGGGAGGAATCTAACAAACACAAAACCAAGCTGCATTATCTACGCACATGAGTCATAAATTCTAAAATGTAATAAATTTGCCTTTTTACTATTTTATTTGAATTAGACAAAACGGAAAGTAAAGTATATATCATAAAAACAAAACAAATAACTGACCAATTTTAAACACATAACAGCAAAAACATATTTCAATCGTGCACAACTGACTGCATGATACTCGCTCATGTTTTTAGACAGCGGAAGACATATATTTTTCTGTAATATATATATTGTATATAACACTTTACAAAAGCATAATACTCTATTTACTAACTGAACTGAGTGTTATAAATAAAATTAAACACAAAGCAAATTTTATGCCCAAAGCTGGATTTTTGGCCCCTGTTGTTGTTGTTGTTGGAATTTCGCCTTGTCACGGACTGTTGAAGAATTTTATTGTTTTTGTTGCTGTTTTTTTTTTTCACTTTTTTTTTGCTGTACGTAAAGCCCAAGCAAATAGAGTTATCAACAATACTCAATAAAATAAAAAGAAAAATAAAAAATCAACAACAAGGCGAGCAGAAAATAAACAGAGGGAGAGTACATAAAAGCGAAAAAATAAAGAATAAAAAGAAATGTCGAGAGCAAAACAAACGAATTTCTTGTTGTGTGTCTCGGTTGACCTTGACATTGAATAGATTAAAATATTATTTCAGTTGTTGAAATTATTTATGCAAAGTGTTATCTAAAGAGAGAGAGAGAGATAGAGTGGGAGAGAGTGTGTGTGTGTGCGAGTGGGTGGGAGCAACCTTCAGCACAGCAACCGCCCGCCCGAACTTGAACCCAATAGCAGCCGAACGCCCCTTATCGAATTAGCGCAATAACAATTAACGTTTACTATGAGTAGCGACTATTTTTACATACTCAACTTTAAGTGCTGTAAAACGATTAGCGCTATATATGGATAGACCAGTATGTGTGAGAATAAACATATATGCATTCAACATCTATTTGAATATTAGAAATAGTAAACAACTCGAGCGTTTTACTTTCTTAGTCAGCCTGATCGCAATTTGACTCAATTTTAGAATAGTAAATAATATATCACAGTCTCATTGCTCGCACCTCAAAATAGAAATTTATATAGCAATAGTCTAACATCATTATAAAGATAGTACAATGTACTTATCTAGAAATACTCAGAGAGCTACTCAGCTCTCTGCGTGTACTTATCTTATATTTAACAAATGCTATACATACATATATATCGCTTTATTTATATTTATACAGCATTTCATGCCTCGATTATATAACAGGCATAAAAAAAAAATTAAAAATGTTATTTAAAAAAAAAAAAAAACAATTGATATAAACAAGAAATAAGTATAACAGACCGACTGTCTACGTGCCTTCGTTTCTACACCGTCCTACCCCGTTGAACGGCAAGCTAAAATATTAGTCATATGCACGCTTATCAACACGAAATTAAACGAAATTGTAATTTATTTTTAAACAATTACACAATTAAGCAAGCACAAGGCGAGTTCAACGGCGAGGCTTGACAATTACGTCATTAAGTCGAGAGAGGGCAGAGAAAGAGATATGGATGAGCAAAAAGAACCTTTTCTATACACGCTCATCAAAAAGAATAAAGCTATATGCGTTACGTTTTATAAAAAATTATATACTTATTTTAAAAGAATAAATCAAATAAAAAATAAAAATAAAAAAATTGGTTTAAACTATCAAATAAAAAAAAAAAAAAATTTGTAACACTTTAAAAAAATAAATATATAATATAAATATATTTTTTTTAATTTTCAGATTTATCTTATATATTTTATTTTTATTAATTTTTTTTAGATTTCAATATATGTATATTTATTTTTTATTAATTTACAATTTTTTGTGTGCTGTCATATATTTTGGCTTTTTTTTTCATTATGTTTTCAAATTAATTTTTTTTATATTTAAATTAAAAAAAAAAAAAAAACAAATTTGAATACATTTCTAAATAACACATTTAAAAAAAAATTGATTTCTTGCTTCACTTAACCACAAATTACATATTAACTAACATAAATATTTTAAGCCCAAAAAATAATTGATCTACAGTAATGCCCCCAATGTACTTTTGACCCTCTTAACCTTTTTAGCTGGGCCAACGAAGGGCCACGCCTTTGAAAGCCTTTGAGAGCGTGCGAAATTGTAGCAGACAATCCAAAAAAGCATTTTGACCTTTTTGTTTCTTAGCCGCTGTTATTTTGGCCAATCGAGCTGCCAATGCAGCTGCTCTCGTTGCCAAAAATTCATAAATTCGTTTCATCATTTAAATTATATATATATTTTTTTTTTTTTTTGGCTTGGTTTCTTTAATGTGTTTTATTGTTTATTAATAAAAGCGCGGCCGATGTGCATATGGCTAATGAATTTTAATGGCTATGCCTCTCCGGCTTAATTTTCATTTTCAGTTTTCTGTTTCTGTTTCTGTTTTTTTTTTTCGGTGGGGCCAGCAGAACGCACGTGCGTCGCTGATTGCCAGTGCTGACTGTTAATTAAAAGCTGTTTGAATGGTTATTTTATTCATTGGAGTATCGCGAAAGGTAAATGGATACACATATATATACTATATATAGCAAATAAACATATACATACATATATATAGTATATAAATTTATATCTACTCCATTTAAATGCCAAGCACCCGCAGCGTCGACTCCTCCAGCTGAACGAACTGTAATTTATAGAGACGCTCAACGACTTTGTCTTGTCAAATTGGAGTTACGGCCACTCCCCCTAACCACCAACGCCCCCGCCCACCCGTTATGCATAATCTTTAGCAGCTCATAGAACAAAGCCTAAATTAGAATATTAAACATATAACACAACCAAGCACTACATATACAAGGCTAGCTTATACCCTGGAACTGTTGAGTATGGGTAAACCTGGTATGATTATGCCACAGGCAGTATATCAATGGACGTATTCTTGATCACGATCAGAACAAGTTCGTTTTGGTATTTTTACACATTTTTACAACTTCTTAATTTCCCACCAGCTCGGAAAAACCATTACTTAGGGTATATTTTTAACGTTCATTTGGGTCTAGAGCATTTTAACTTGTGTGTTTTTTTTTCGGCTATTGTTTGGCTTTTTTTTTTTTTTTGTGTATTTTTGTGGTTCCGAGCAGCTGACTTTGACCTTGCTGGAAATTCCGTGTAGTACGGCTAAACAACTTGTTGTGTGTATGTATGCCCCAGCCTAGATCAGGGCCTTACAGCTAGGCCATGACTTTTGCATCAAGTGTATTTTATAAGTCGAATCAAAATGCAACCCTTAAAGAAATGTTGCTTCTGCGTAGATTTGCGTTGCGGTTCTTTTGTCATCTATATATTTGAGTTTATGTTATCATTTTACGCCATTTGCCTGGGTCAATGTAAGTTTGAATTAATAAGGATTGTAAATATTTTATGCCTGTTTATCTTGTCGTTAAAGCAGGGTCCTCTGGAAATAAGCTCTTGATAGTGAGTCGCTTGGGCGGCATGATATATTTGATTGGCAACGTTTTCTTGCTAATGGGCGTTATTTATGTAAGATAAAATATAAAAAGTTATATGTTTGTTCATCAATATGTACTAGAAAAATACTTAGAAATCGCCAAACTTTCTCTTGGTTTATTTGATAACAAGTGGCATACATCTAGTGACCAGCATTATGTATTTTATTACAATGGCTGCAACATGTGAATTCTGCGTCTATATAATTACCTTCATACTAATTACAACAGGTATATATGACATCTATATCCATATTGATATATATATATCTATCTTTATATATCTACATCTATATCTATCAATATATATCTCTATCTCTCTATATATCTATATATCTCCATCTATCTGTATGAGTCGATATCACCTATACATCTATATCTATATCTCCAATCTACATCTCTTATGATAGTTTTCAGCGTTTACTTTTGGGTTGTGGTCTATTCGTATCGTGAAAGATGCAAATGGGAACGTTCAATAAACTATGATGGAGGAGCTAAGCACTAGCATATAATTGATAAATATATATACAAATTATATTATCAAATACATTTTGCAAATTATTAAATTCTAAAGTGTATTTAAAAGTCGTCTCACATACGAACTGCCTTCAAATCTTTTGTTTTCTTTACATATTATTTTAGCAGCTTTTATATTCGGTGAGTTTGCTGTCTGTGGTTGTTGCTTTACTTCGTTCATATTTTTTGTTCTTCCTATTTTTTTCGGCGAAATTACTTTGTTGTTATTGCTGCCATTTGAGCTGTTCTTGTTTGTGTGTGCCTTTTTTTTATTTTTTTTTTTTTGCTGGCCATAATTTCACACTAATTTGTAAATTTGCTTTTAATGCCAAAAACAAAGAGTCTACAACAACAACATAAATGCGATGCCTGTAATTTTCCAAATTTGGAGGTACTACAAATATCTCCAACTCAACATTCAATCGAATGAAATGCAAAAACTGAAGTGAAATGAATGCGAAATGAATTGTATGCAATAAGAACTAAACCTTGTTGTTGCTTTTGTTGCTGTTGCATTTGCTTGCAATCACTTCATTCCGTTGCAATTTTCAATCACGTGCTAAGTGCTGCCAGACAAAGCAGACACGAGAGACAATTTGTCTGGGAGTTAAGCATGCAACATCAAGAGGGGGGAGGAGCAGGCAGGCAGCCTGCCAGCTACAACAAAAGCAACAACAAAAGCACTTTTTCTGCTTGGCAATTGCTGCATAATTTCTGTGCTCAAACATCAAAACAAAAGCAAGAGCACAAAAAGCAAATGGAACTCGAGCATCATCGAGTAGCAGGCAACAACTATGTATTTGCCCTATCACGTACAAATTAAAAATGTGAAATGCTTCAATTTGGTGCAAGCGCAATGCACGCTTGCAACACAAATGCAAACATACACATACACACACAGATGTTGACTATAGCTTGCCATAGCAACAAACGATGCTTCGTACAACGTGGCGTATGAATATTGTGAGGCATCATCAAATAGATTGAATTGCCAAGTTTCTGTCAGCTGCTTCCGATATGTGTGTATCGAAATGAAATACGCAATGCTTGACTATGAAATACCCTGTATTTAGCTATATCTAGCAAGTAAACTGCAGGTCTTATAAACCCTTTCGTATATATAAATCTTGTGTTTAGTGAATTGTTTAATTTATGCAAAACACTCGAAACGTGCGACAAAATATGTTTAATATTATGCTTCAAATGGCATTAAAAGATTTCAAACTTGTTGCTTTTTATGTCAAAAACTACTTTTGTAGTACAAACCTCGCATTGAGTGTTCAAGAAACGAGTTTTAGCCTAAACAAATATAGCATAATAATTAATATAATAATCTTTGATTCAAATGCATATCATATGTATTCATATATATTTGAATTGGGTCTGTTGTCAGGGCGAAGCTCGAATGATTTAACTAAATTATTGAGAACTCGCTTGCCTCTTCCATTGTGTCAATGCAAATCAATTCAATATCAATTATAAACTAAATGCCAAAAGAGACCTTAATAGCTACAAGCGCCAATTGCCAAATATTTTTTTTTTTTTTGGCTAAAAGAATTTGTCATATTATTTGATTTGTTGATAATTTAATTGCAGTTATTGTTGTTGGGCCACACCTAGCCATAAATATCGAAATACATATAAATAAATATCAAATAGTAGCGCGGACGTACACAATTTTCGTGCAATTGCCGTAACTCACGTTTTTCACATCAATTTTGTGCTCAGAGACACAGAAAAGAAAAAAAAAATATTACCCAAAACTAAACAAAATCCAAATTTAAATTCAAATTCAATTTTCAGTGTGCGCTGACGTATTTTCTATATATGTATATATACATATATATATACATATATATATTTTGTTGCAATTGCAATTGCAACTTCCATCCATAGCTGGTTATTGATTGAATTTGCCACTTGGGCTACTTGGTTAGCCACGCCCCGTCAAACATCTATAGACAGCCAGCTAGCCTCGGGCTTGAACTTTACGAAATGTATACACACACACGCACACACACAGTAGGCCACTACAACATTAGCTACCTGCCAATTTGTTGCCTCCGGGAAAAGCCAAAAAGCAAAGGAAAAAACTGCTAAAACTGAATCATTGCGATTGCGAGGAAGCGAATTATTGCATTGCATATTCCAAATGGCAAAGTTGAAGCCACAAGCCAAAATAAAACTACAAAAAAAAAACCAACTTCACAGAAAATAACGAAAATTATCTCTAATTGACTTTTTACTTTCATTTTGCTTGCAATTCTTCGCCATTGAAAGTAAAATTAGTAAAAATAAAGGGCAAGGGTTATCTGTTAAAGAAAATTTAATAAATATTGTGAATACATTTTAATGAAAAATTAAAGAAGAAATAAAAACTAGCTAAACATTTGCCTATGTACTATTCACTAGAAGCAAAAACTTGTTTAAAAATTCTTTTAAAACTCATTTTCAGTTTCCGATGCAGCTACAGGAAGTTTAAAAGAATTTAATATCAATGAAATAGAAATTTAAATACAATATCAAAAAGTCTCTTATCAACATTTGACTTTCATTTCACAGACACAAATCCATTTTCAGCTGCAATTGTGCCTGGGGTGGAATCACTTGAAGCATATTCACATTCACAGCTTCTGAAAATTTTGGGCAATTTATAAAGATTATGTCAAATGTGAATTATTATTGACAATTTGCATAAATGAAATGGAAAATAAAAGCTGCTAAACATATAACAAATTATGAGTAATTCGAGACGACAAACATAAAACACAGTCTAGACGGTGAGTAAAATAAAAAACGAAAAAACAACGAAAAAGTGCAGTTTAATTGGTTGCTTTAACTAGCGTGCTTTTCGCTTTAGCGGGTGTTTATTTACTGGCCACAAATCCCGCCAGAAAATCGCCAGCGTCGAGACTGCAAATTGATTAATGGTCACTAAATGCATTCAACAATTTCCACCCGGCAGCAGCAGCAGCAGCAACAAGTTTTTTCCTTTCAATGTGTAATGTGAAACCAAATTTTCTACTCGATCGTTTGGCTGCCGATCTACGCTTAATAATTGTTGTAGTTGTTGTTGTTGTTGTTGCTGTGGCATAGCCCCAATATGGCCAAGCGTTTATCCCATATCTGATCAGTGCAATCTTCAGCAGATATCGAATTGCAACAAAAATTTGCAGAAAATTTGCAGCGCAAATTAATTGCGCAAACCGTTTGCAATCTGCAGTCGGCACTGTGATTTACATTGATGCTGAATTGGAATTTATCATAGCTCGAAGAAATGTCTCATTGGCATTTCATGTTACAAAATTTATGCATGCATTTGTGCCAATCGTGTCTCGTTCAAGTACAAATAGTAAATTAATTAATATAGTAGAGTAATAAGGAAAGAAATAAAAGCAATATAACTAATATTGCATATTTTTCTTCTATCTGTTTTTTTTTTTTTTTTTTTTAAGATCAATACACAAGCTAATTAAAACAACAATTGCTAAACAACCTACATGACAAAAGACGCCCATAAAACAATAACAAGCTGTAAATGTAGAAAATTTTATATAGTTAATGAATGTTAAATACACTACAAAAAATATCGGTTGTATATAGGAGATACAAATACGATCATCTTTTTTTAATAAAATTTTATTTGATAAAATAAACAATAGCTCATTCTTTATTATATTATATTCATTACTATATATATACTAACTATATATAATCATAAATATATAGTCATATATTCTATATAACATCCGGCTTGAATAGCCACCGATATGAGCTGCATTTCAAAGCTTTTAAAGCTGATTAAGAGTATATATATGTATATACATACGCATATCCAAAAGTCTGTCTCACATACAGCACAATAAAAATCGTCATACCCCTTAATCGAGTGTATTTAAGTATATGCACTTGAAGCAGAAAAGCGCATACATAAATCATAGCTAAAAGGCCATGTCAGATGAGATCAGCTGCAGCTAAATGGAAAATGTTGTCTCTTAAACAGCTCCAGCATGCAGCATACAAACAATGACAACACGCACGGGCCAAAGGAGCAACACTGGCTCTCTCCCTCCCTCCCTGCTCCAGCTCCCGACCCCGTGCTGAACTTTAAGCCCAGTAGCCAAGCAGGCTGCCAGGCGTGTGCCAGGCAACGGGCAAACTGGCAACTGGCAACTGGCAACTGGCAATCGGCAATTGGCATTCGAAATGCAACAGAAACGTGAATGTCATTAGAGTCAATTCCAAGTTGATGAGCGAATGGACTGAAGTTACGAGTGGATTTAAACTAGTTCTGAGCCAGGGTGCGGTCAGCTACACGAATTCAAACTTTAAGCTCAACAAAAATAAAACTCAAATAAATAAAATAAAATAAACTAAACTAAATGACAAGAGAGCGTCCAGTTAAAGTTTCCATTCGGGCGCTTTAACGATTTTTGGCCTGAAAGTGCAAGAAACTCATAAATTAGACTGATTGTGGAGCACACACACACACACACACACACATGCACACAGCTGCTGTCAGACGGCAATGCACGTTGTGCGGTGAAATAAATAGAAAATTAGCCAGACATTGGCCAGTCGAGCCAAGCAAAAGCATACAAAAGCCGAAGAAAAAGGAAAAAAAAACCGTACAAATAATACGGCAATATGTTGCTGCAACATAAAGAAACAAAAGCAACGC